GGGCTGTGCCACCCTGCCCCACGCAGACCTCGCCAACAGCCCAGGGGAGGAGGGTGGCAAAAAGAGAGGGGTGATGGGGAGCCGGCCCCAAGAACCCGGTGTCTCGTCCTACTGATCCACCTGAGCAGCCAGCCCAGCTCTCACCAGCCTGGCTTCACGGCTCCAGGAGGGTTGATCGTCCTCCCTGCCCTCCGCAGAGCAAACAACAAAACCAATTTTGCCTCCCGCACGCCGCTCCTCCAAGGGATGCTGCAAACAAACAGAAATCAAACCTCTCATCACAGACGCTGCAAGAACAAGGAGAGGGGAGGAGGTACCCTCCAAATCCTCCCCCACCATTTATTTCACCCCAGGGGATGCAGGAGCTGTGCCCACCCTGCCTGCCCCCCGCACCGCTCCTGCCAAGCCCCCTCCACAGCACGGGGGGGCTGCAGCTGAGCCAACATCCACCCCCTCTCCAGCTCCTGCCTACTGCTGATGAGAAGGGAGAAGAATTAACCAGCTTGGATGCCACGGGCCAGTCCCTCCAGGTGGGGAAAAGGCCTTCACAGACCACTGCATTTCAGAAAGCCGAGCTTAAGACCTTAGGGCTCTTAACAGTCCCCCACCCAGCTGCAGGGATGCCAGTGGCGCGGGAGATTTGGGAGCAAGCGGTGAGTTAACAGCGTTAATGGCCTTGTTTCAAAACGAAGCGGAGACCACTCTATAAATCAATGCGTGGCTGAAGAGTTTTCTAGGGTAGAAATCGGTATCAGAAGCAAAGGAAGAGATAAACAGCACACGAGTGCTGTTTAGAGACCCCTCCTCGCTGGCTGGCAAAGCCTTTCACCTCCAGCATCGCCGGAGCATCGGGGGAGCGGTCGTGGCCCCAGCATCTGCTTTGGCAGGGGGTTGGACTAGATGACCCACAGAGGTCCCTTCCAGCCCCTACCATTCTGTGATTCTGTGATGGGTCCTTGCAGAAAAGATGCCCGAGGTGTGGGAAGCCACCTCCTTCAGATGAAAGCTGAGGTCTGACATTGCCAGGGCAGACGCCCATTTCTATTGGCTTTGCACCACCGTTTGGAAGGGGAAAGGACCACGGCAAACCTTCCAGCAGCAGGGTTTCCAGATCGAAATAGCAAGTGGCAGATCCTCAGCTGGTAGCGGTGGGCAGAGATCTGTTGGCTCACAGCGCAGGCTGCCAGCTGGCTGGCAACCCGCTGCTTGCCACCGGGCTGCGCAGGCTGGGAGAAAACGAGGATCTGGCCCAGAAGATGAAGGGGTGACAACCCTCAAGGAGCCCAGCTGGAGGAGAAGCAACCAAGAGGCCCTGCTGTGCTCGGCGCTGGCACTGTCACCCTCCCGCGCTGCCCCGGAGCGCTCACCGCCTGCCGAGACCCACCGGATCCTCGCCCACCGCCTTTCCACGCCACCAGGTATTGCTTGGGGAGAGGAACGCGGTGCGGGGAGGCAGAGACCCTCCCCTGGACCGCCGGGCACGGCTCTTGTTAGCACACCACCATGTCCCACCAAAGCCACCCCGAGAGCGAGCCTGGGACAGGAGAGCCGTGGCCCTCGCCCAGCAAACCTCTGCCACACCAGAGCAGTCCACAGGCACAAGCACGGCCCTAAGTCAACGGACTACGGACAGGACCAGAGCCACATCTACAGACCAGCCCCAGGTGATGAACACTCCCAGTCCCTCCAGCAGCTGGGACCAGCACCTTCACCCCAGCAGGGACCTCTTCCCCGTGCCCCCGGCTCCCCTCTGCCCCGAAACGCTTCCCGACGGTGACGCGAGGCACCTGCACCCCATTAGACCCACAAGAGGAGGCAGCTCGTCTGGCAGCCCACCGAGGGAGGTAGTTTTCCATCTCCTGCGAGGACCAGAGAGCTTTCGGAGTATGTCATCTGGATGGGCTGGGCTGCTAATATTTTGGAGCCCTAAGCTAGGAGTTACACCCACGTTCGTTTTTATTTTTGCTTTAGATGTCTTCTCTAGTCCAATTATAGATTAATCACATTTTATCTAGCATCCGTTTCTCCCCCGCCTCCTTCCCCACCCCCATCAGAGAAGGAAAGCAAGAAAGAAACAAACGTGTTATTAATTGGCTGCTGTTTTCTGCTGGGTTCTTATCTGCACACGTGAAACGAGGGAGGCTGGGGAAGGTGACTGAACAGCCTGCCTGCAGAAAGCAGGGCATTTTAAGCCTGATTTTCAGAGAAAACAAAGCTCCTGCGATGACATTATCCGAGCACACGCTTGCCTGCCTGCATCCAACAGCTTTAAACCCATTGACTGATAACAGCACGGCCTCAAAAACCGAAGTTCCTACAGGTCTGCGAAACTGGAAGGCTCTAGTAACCCCAACGGAAAGGCGCGAGGTGCTGGTGAGCACACTGCTCATCAGGCACCGGGGGATCCACAGGCGAGAGCCACCAGCCCAGCGAAAACGCAAGTCCATAGGGAACCCAGGTGCTGTCCCACCTGCTCTGCCAGGGAAGGACCAGGAAAAGCGGACAAGGACAGCACCACGCTGCCTCACGACCAGAGGGGTGAAAATTTGAAGGTGGGGAGGGAATTGTTAGGATTGCTCAGAGACAGAAACCCGCAGGAGCCCAGCAAAGATGGGAAGGGAATGGGGGCTGCGTTCGGTCCCCCCGCATTCACACGCCCACACCCTCTCCGGCCAGGGCAGCAGAGATACCTGATGTCCACCATGAGCACCATTTTGCTCTTAATGCCGATGAGGATGAAACCTTTTGCCAGCTGGAGCACAAGCCCAACAGATTTTTTGGTAGCATTTACACAGCGTTAGCAGCCGACTGATCCAAGACTGGATGGGCTGGGGTGATTCAACTTCGGCTGCACAGCAGAAGTGGTAATTTAACCAACAGCCAACAGCATCTCGGCAACCTCTGCCAGCCTCAAAAATCACCTCTCCCCGAGCTGCTCAGCCCCCGTCCCAGGTACTTGTGATGGAGACATTCCTACCTGCTTTCTGCCCGTTTAACCTCCCGCTGCCACGAGCCACCACAACCCACTCCAGCCCTTTCCCAGCAAGACCAAGACCTGCAGAGGCAGCGGAGAGTCCCAGGGAAACCCCGGGTCCACACCGCTGCCCGGTACAGGCGTCCCTCCCTGCCTGGCCCATGCCTGCAATCAGGGCAGGGTTGGGGTGGCAGGGAGGACATCTGCTGCCCAGGCCACGGTGAGATGCAGCCTCGAGCTCCAGACCCCGTGAGCCGAAACTAGTCACCTCCCTCGCTGTCCTCCCCTGGGTTGCTCTGATGTGACACCAAAAAACCAAAGCAACTGAGGGAGGCAGAACAGTGTTTCTGGCTGTTTCCTCACACTAACAGCCCACCACCTTCTCGTGGTCCTTCCTTCACCTGCGCCTCTGCCACGTACCATGGGCACACAGCCATTTACTTCTTTAGCTCTGTGCTTGCAGAGCAGCAAGCCTTTCTGCACCTCCTTCTGCCTCCCTCCTCCTCCTGCCAAAACCCAAGAAGACCTTAGAGGACAAACACAGAAAAACCACTGAATTCAACACCGCTGCTTTTGAGGATCAGGTCCCTTTCTCCAGTGCCCTCCCTTCCACGGCCTCAGCAGCTGAACCAGGAAAGCTCTGCAAATCACTGGAGCACACGCAAGATCCCATCTCCCCTCCCAGCCCTTCCCCACCTCCACGGCAGCCACCTGGGAAACCCCTGGC